CATTCTATATCTCTATATTAAATTAATTATTCTCACCTGACCTTCTGCTGCATGGCTGGGAACTTCTTGGGAACCTGGTGAAATCCTTTGAGCTCCCTGGGATTGAGCAGGATCCACAGAAAACACAGGAAAGAAAGGCCTGAGAAACCTGAATTCGCTGTTCAGGGACCCACCAGCTAAGCACACCTCATAGTTGTAAGCCCGGGAAAGGGATCCAGCATCAGCATCTCCACAGTTCTCAGGAAAATTTGGTCCCACTGGGAAATTCAGGGCAGAGCTCTCTACGAACTTTCTCCTTTTCTGAATTTTGACGGCAACAAACACCAACACAGAAACCAGAAAAATGAAGGAGATGACAGCCAAGCATATGACCAGATACATCGTCAGGGTACGGTCTTCCTCCTCCACCACTTCCTCCTTTGGGATATCCACCATTTTCATATAAGGGTCAGAAAAACCGTCCACTAGCAGAATGCTTAGTGTTGCAGAGGTGGACTGGGGAGGATGTCCATTGTCACTGACTCCAATAATAAGTTTCTGTTTGAAGGTGTCTCGTTTGTTAATGGGTCTCATGGTTTTCACTTCTCCATTCTGGGCCCCCACACTGAACAGACCCGGTTCTGTGGCCTTCAGGAGCTCATAGGAAAGCCAAGAGTTCTGACCGGAATCTCTGTCCACTGCCACCACCTTGGTGACCAGGTAGCCAGCCTCCGCCCCCCTGGGAACCAGGTCATTGGATGGGGAAGTGCCATTCTGAAGAGGGTAGAGGATGAATGGGGCATTGTCATTTTCATCCATGACATAAACTCGGACCATAGCTTCAGAGCTCAGGGGAGGAGAACCGCTGTCCACAGCCCTCACAGTCACTTGGAAATCTTTCACCTGCTCATAGTCCAGAGATCGGATGGCATACAGATTCCCAGTTTCAGTGTTGATGGAAACGTAAGAGGATACAGGTTGATCGCTGACCTTTCCTGGTAAAAGAGAATACGTCATTTTGGCATTCTTTGCTGTGTCCGGGTCCTTGGCTTGGACCAAACCTATCAGCAGACCTGGGATATTATTTTCCCATAACTGCATTTCATATGATAACTTTTCAAATACTGGGGAGTTGTCGTTGATGTCTGAGATTTGGACATTGATCGTTTTTCTTGAAGTGAGCCTAGGAGAGCCCTGGTCTGTGGCTGTGATGGTGACGTTGTACTCTGAAGCTTTTTCTCTGTCTAGGGTCTGCTGAGTGACCAGTTGATAGTAATTATTTGCATTTGCTTTCACCATGAAAGGCAAGCTTGCCTCAGTGGTGCAGGCAGTTCTGCCATTGTCCCCAGAGTCTCGGTCTGTGACACGGAAGAGGGCCACCACTGTATCTGTGGGAGAATCTTCTGGTAAGGGGCTGATGAGGGATGTGAGCGTCACCTCTGGCACATTGTCATTCATGTCCTCAATCTCCACAATGACTTTGCAGTAAGCAGAGAGTCCCCCTCCATCAGTGGCTTTGATGTTTATTGCATAATTTCTCTCCTCTTCATAATCAATTTTCCCTGCAACGGCAAGTTCCCCGGTATTTTTGTTTAACTTGAAAGATTTAAGGATATTTTCTGTTACCTGGCTGAAGGAATAAGTGATGTCGGCATTGGAACCAAGATCCCTGTCTGTTGCTTCCACTTTAGCTACAAGTGTGTTTGGGGGGGCATTTTCCAGTACCTTCACTTTGTACAGAGATTGATGGAACTGAGGGACATTATCATTGTTGTCCAGAACATCAATTACAATTTTTGCTGTGCCTGTTCTCTTTGGGGTCCCTCCATCAATAGCTGACAGAATCAAGAAAAGCCGTGCAGTCTCTTCACGGTCTAATTGTTTCTCCAGTACTAATTCTGCACTTTTGCTGCCATCGCTGTGACTCTGAACACCCAACCTAAAATGGTCATTTGGACTAAGGGTATAGTTCTGAACACCATTTCCCCCTCTGTCTGCATCTGTAGCACTCTCCAGTAGAAATCCAGTATTCAGGGGAGTCTGTTCGGGTATTTCAAAAAGGAATTCCTTCTTAGAGAATTCAGGGGAATTGTCGTTCACATCCTCTATGTCAACCTCAATTCTGTGCACTTGCAGTGGGTTTTCCAGCACAATCTCCGAGAATAAGACACAAGTGTCCTTCTGACCACAGAGAGACTCTCGATCTATTCTGTCCTGCAATATCACATTCCCAGAGTGTGGATCCAGCTGGAAATATTGCCTGTTGCCTTCAGAAACCAGCCGGGCCCTGCGAGCAGACAGCTCCTTTACATCTACTTTCAAATCCTTTAGCACATTTGCCACCAGAGACCCACTTTTCTTTTCCTCAGGCACTGAATAGTGGAAAGTCTCACACACCACAACAGCAAGGCATAAATACAGAGAAAAAGACCAGACTTGCCTGTTAAGGTGGCTCCTTTGCATTCTTGCAGCTTTTCCCCAGGAGTAAAACACAAGGGGATTCTTTGTAAAGCACCTGGTTCCCTTTCTTTCCTTGGTCTTCTTATTGTTGGAGATTGATTCAGAAGCCTTTTCCTCCTAATATTTCTGACTGTTTTCTTGAAATACAGAGCTGCTGCCTGTTTCCTTGATACAGCTTTCTCTAATGGCCCCAGCTTTTGCAAGGAGCATCTTCAACAATATCTGCTTTGTTGGCCAACAGCACCACCTTGTGCTTGAAGTAAAATACAGCAGTTGCACATATTATTCTGTTTTCATTGATCTGCACAAAACATTTTCCTGAAATAATAGTTTACAGTGGTCTTTCTGCGTAATGCTTACACCTGTACCTTACAGGTAAGAAACAGAAATGGTATATATAAAAAACCTGGATCCAAACCATGATCTGTTGTGCTTGTATGGATATATAAAGATGTAGAGACACAGAATCTTAACCCTAAAAACCTAAGTATATTATTTATACTGGGACAAGAAACTTCAGACAGGGAATAGGATTGGGAATGGCTACGTCCTCTTTTTAAGAAAGGAATATAGAAGGATCAGTGCTGGGACACATAGGACTGGAATGTGTAACATCTATTTTACATTTGTCTATTTCAGTTTTCTGCTATGTTTTCATCTCATTCATCTATGTGCCACAGATATGCATTCATAAATCCATTAATCCAAATTTGACTAATCCCTGTACACCTTAATATCTTTAACAGACCAAATCTGATAACTAAAAATTAACAACCTGCAATAATTTCTGACAGTCTTCAGAAATGGCTGCCTACCTTTTATGCACACAAAATGTAAGGGAAGAGCAAGCAGTAGGGCCAGTTCAGATGAAAGGTTTAATCAGCAGAAAATGTAACTGACAGGGGCGTTTTTCAGCCTCAAGAGTTAATGGATACTTCCACTCAAGAGCAATATCTCAATAGATGTACACAGTATTTCCACTTTACCTCAATCATTGCAACCGTCTGAATGGCTTTGAGACAGTTTCATTTATGCTATAGAAGTAAAATCAGTAGAACAAGTAGAATTGGGGAGGGGCTGTGGCTTAGTGGAAGAGCCTTTGGTTTGCATGCAGAAGGTCCTGGGCAGCTCCCGTTAAAAGGACCAGGCAGTAGGTGATGTATAAGACCCCTACCTGAGACCTTGAAAAATCACTATCTCTCTGGCAAAACATTAGTCAACTTGATGAACAGATGGTCTGATCCAGTATAAGGCAGTTTCAGGCAAACTATGAGGAGTCTTTTGTGTAATGAAATTAGCATTCTATTTTTAAACAAAAACTGAGGAGACAAGTGATTGGGAGCTAAGCCAGGCCTCCTCTTGAGCCTTACTCCAGTACTTGAAGTAGTTTTTCCCCAGCCTGGTCACTTGTGGTATTAAGAGCCTGGCTGGGAGAAGAAAGTATACTAAGACATGGTGCAAGAGGGACAGAGGTTAGTTCCCCTCAAATTTGCACTCCATTTTTTGCACTCCAACAGACCCACCCACCCACAAAAAAAACTTCAGAATTTAGGGGAAACTGTCATATGCCGTCCCTCCAAGACAGCAATTTAAGTGTCTACAAAACAGGAGTGCTTTCTTCTCTTTGCCTGAGATTTGTGAGGGATGATCCAATAGAAAGCACAATTTCCTCCATATTTCAAAAGGCCAGTGAGAGAAAAAATGTTAAAGGTATTTGTTTATTTACTTGCTTAATTCATCCTTGCCTTTCTCCCCAATGGGGCCACAAAGAGGCTTATGTCATTCTCCCCTCTTCCCCTCCATTTTATCCTCACAACAAACCTGTGAGGTAGGTTAGGCTGAGAATGTGACTGTCCTAAGGTCACCCAACAAGCTTCCAAGGGAAAATGAGGATTCCAGCCTAAGTCTCCCAGATCATAGCTGGGATGCACAGGAACTGGCTCACAAATGAAAGTTTGTGACAAATTTTGGTTGGTTTGTGGTTTACGAAGTGATGTTTCTGAACTGAAGAGCCCCCATGAACACCATGAAGGCAGTTTGTGAAGAGCAGAAAGCGGTGGAGAGGAGAAAGCAGGGGTCATGAACTGATACGAACCAGTTCAGTTGGCAAACCAACCTCCCAGTTCGTATTGGTTCATCGTTCAGTTTGTGGTTCAGCCATGAACCATGAACTGAACTGCTAAAATGTGGTTCATGCCCATCCCTGATCATAGCTCAACACTAACCACACCAGTTTCTAATTGAAACCAACAGAAATGAAAACCCAATATAACAGAGAGCCCAAAGTGATGAAATAACTTATAAAACAATATTCCAGCCTAAGTCTCCCAGATCATAGCTAGGGATGCACAGGAACTGGCTCACAAATGAAAGTTTGTGACAAATTTTGGTTGGTTTGTGGTTTACGAAGTGATGTTTCTGAACTGAAGAGCCCCCATGAACACCATTAAGGCAGTTTGTGGCAGTTTGTGAAGAGCAGAAAGTGGTGGGGAGGAGAAAGCAGGGGTCATGAACTGATACGAACCAGTTCAGTTGGCAAACCAGCCTCCCAGTTCGTATTGGTTCATCGTTCAGTTTGTGGTTCAGCCATGAACCATGAACTGAACTGCTAAAATGTGGTTCATGCCCATCCCTGATCATAGCTCAACACTAACCACACCAGTTTCTCATTGAAACCAACAGAAATGAAAACCCAATATAACAGAGAGCCCAAAGTGATGACTCTACCTGCCCACCAGGTTTGGTGAGGATTTGGTTTATGGGGTCTGAGTTATGCCCCCACAAAGAAGGTGCCCCTGAGAAACTGTTTTCTGGGGAAATGAAAGGTACAGGTTCAGAAGTGTATAGAACAGATCCTGTGTACACTAGAGACATCAAAGTCACAGGGGATCTCCCTCAGATGCTCTTCTACATACCCTCCAAGTTATGCCCCCCCAATTCCTTTGAAGTTTGGTAAACATTTAGATTGAATGGAGATACTGTCACAAACAGCTTGAAAGTTTGTGGAAAGTTCATGCCGGTTGGCCTGCCATGAACTTCAGTTCGTGTACCAAGAACCAGTCAAAATTCATCATGAACGAGTCAGCTTGTGCCCATCCCTATAAATAAAATGAGGCCTAAGTATTGAAAGTATCCTCCAACTGAATGCAAATGTTGATTTTGGTGTCTAGTCAATATCTAGTAATGGGCCTGACTGATAGCCAGAAATGTCATGGTTCCATTCATAGCACTGTCAGTCATTCTCAGGTTGTTAGTGTGCTCAGGGCCTCTCTCTGTGGAGGTGACTATGCCATGACTCTACCTATTCAAGGTAAGAAGACCTTTACCTTCTCCTCATGCTGCTTCATTTAGGGTTAGTCGCTGCTGAAGTTACTGGAGTACTCTGCCCATAAAGTACGTCATGGGAGACAGAAACAACAGGTTGGAATTAAACTTCATGGCACTTGGGGTGTGTGGAGGTTTCCAATGAACTAAAACTTTTTATCACAAAAAGTACTAGTTGCTGTCCTGTGAATAGCATTTGAGGAAAAAATAGAGGACAGAGTTTTGTACTTTCTCTGAGGATGTCTCATATTGGGCAGGGGGGTAGAGGTAAGAATCATCTCTCACAGCCAGAGAAGCCCTAACATATTATCTGTTTCTGGCCTTCATTATTTCCCTGGGCAGGAAGTCCAGGGCAGCATCAGATGGTAGGAGCCCTTAAATAAGTTGCTGTCAGTTGGCCCTTTCTCTGTTGTATTTCTATTGTTTTTACTGTTTTTGCAACCGGAGTCAAACCCTCATCCAACAATAAACCTCATTCCACAGGAAAACATGGAAGAATTTAAAGGTTGCTACTGCAAAAGCTGTCATGTGATTTGACAACAGCTGCTAGAAAGTCTGCCACATGTATAGTAATTTGTTTGTCTTCATCTCTAAGTAACCAGGATGATTTTGCTTCTGGAGAGATAAAGTCCTGATTAAATAAAGGGGAGATCAGTTCATCTCTTAGAGCTGAAAATTTGGGACAATCAAGCAAAATATAATCCACAGAGTCCATTTTACTGCTGCAGCTATTACAGAGTTGATCTGAGTATGAAATCCCATTAAATCTTCCTGATATCACAGCTGAAGGTAGGGCATTCACACGTGCTAATGCCCTTCCATACTTTGGAAGAATTATCTCAGATTGTTGTTGGAGGCTGAATGCCTACTGAAAAGGCTGAGCACACTCTGCGGGCTCTAATTGATGTGCTCTCATAGTCAAAGTCTCTCAAACGTCTTCTAATAACCTGTGACAGTTCTTGTCTACTCGTGACTTCTATCACATCTTGGGTGATACCCGGACATAATAGTTTACGGTCCTGTAATCTGTCCCAATCATTTGTGTGGTGGTCCAGCTTAACTAGTCCAAGGAGGTTCAGATTTGGGTTTGATTTTTGAGTCCTAGTTTTCAAATGCTCTTCTCCAGGTCTTTGCTTCATAAGACATCTCCCCAACTTCAGCTCTCAGGTTGGCCCTTTCTCACGAATCCTTGCTAGTGACCCTCTGCCTCTGCCATCTTTGTGCTCAGACAGGATATGGCACCTTCTGACTACTCTTGATGTTATGGCCACCCACATACTTCCCAGAGAGGCAGCAGAAAAGCAAATGCTGAAAAGCAGCTGCAGCAGAGGGCTCCAGGCAATGGTTGGCCATTCTGGGCTGCTGGTAGTTCAGCAGCTACTGATCACTGATGCCTTCAGGGAATAAAGTCTACAACCCAGCAAGATGCATTAATAGAGGCTCGGTATGAAGAAATTGGCTAACCTGACATACAGCCATTGTTGTTTACAAAGGAAGCATTGGCTGAGCCTTATTTACAATCCATCAGGGAAAGTACTCCATTTGTGCTGAGAAATTCTGTTTAACAGATACTGAGAAGGCATTTGATAGTATTGAGTAGAATTTCTTAAGAGATGTCTTATTAAAATTTGAATTTCATCAGTGTTTTAGAAATTAGATAGATTTAATTTATAGTGTACTTACTGCAAAGGCAGAATTGGTATAGCTGCTCTAGTATCAGGACAGCATTTTTAATACATGTACAAAAGTTCTGGCAATAGAGATCCGATCTGGAGCAAACATACAAGGTACTGGTATTCAGGAAAAGATAGGTGAGATGATGTAGTTTTCATGATAAGATACCCTTCAGATTCATTTATTAACTTGAAATAATAAAGGAATATAATTTGAAGGCTGGATATCAATTTGGACAAACTGTGGTGCTCTTCAGAATGAATATACAAGCTGAATTGGGAAATAAAATAGGAAACTGAATCTAGATGGAAATCTATCAGACACTTAGAGCTATAGGTCTTAGTTTCAGTCTTTAGTGGAAGATAATCTAATCCTTTCAAAATTACAGATTACTAAATCCAAACCCAATTATAGCTTGGTTATGTTACTGCACCAAGGTAGGGTGAGCCTCGACATCCTCTCTTCAACCAATGCCTCAATCTTTTAAATTCTCTCTGCTTCTCATGATAGTAGCTTCAAAGTGAAACTTGGGTTTCCCACAAATATGTTTCCCAATTCCACCACTTATTGTTTGATTAGAAAATAAAAGCATCTTAGAGCCAAATACATTTAAGAGGAAAAGCTTACATTTATGTTCATTTAACTGTTATTTTGTAAAACTGCACTATATAAAAATGCGTCAATGAAATAGTTATTATTCTCCATACTAAAAAAGAGAGAAAAATACTTTTTATCCTCTTATTGAGAATGTTTTCAATGCAGAAATTTGTCCTTAATTCCCACTGAAAAACTAAACAATATAGTTGCTGAGAGATATTAGTGACAGATTCAAATATTAAGAATTTCCGTATGAAAAAATTATTCAATGAAATGTCAATGATACTCTCACCTGACCCTTGGGCTGACTTTCTTCTTCATGACTGGAAAGATCTTGGGAGCCTGGTGAAATCCTTGGAGCCCCCTGGGACTGAGCAGGCTCCACAGAAAACAAAGGAAAGAAAGGCCTGAGAAACCTGAACTCGCTGTTCAGAGACCCACCAGCTAAGCACACCTCATAGTTGTAAGCCCGGGAAAGGGATCCAGCATCAGCATCTCCACAGTTCTCTGGGAAATTTGGTCCCACTGGGAAACTCAGGGTGGAGTTCTCTATGAACTTCCTCCTTTTCTGAATCTTGATGGCAATAAACAGCAACACAGAAACCAGAAAAATAAAGGAGATGACAGCCAAGCATATGACCAGATACATCGTCAGGGTACGGTCTTCCCCCTCCACCACTTCATCCTTTGGGATATCCACCATTTTCATATAAGGGTCAGAAAAGCCATCCACTAGAAGAACGCTTAGTGTGGCAGAGGTGGACTGGGGAGGATGCCCATTGTCACTGACTCCAATAATAAGTTTCTGTTTGAAGGTGTCTCGTTTGTTAATGGGTCTCATGGTTTTCACTTCTCCATTCTGGGCCCCCACAGTGAACAGACCTGGTTCTGTGGCTTTCAGGAGCTCATAGGAAAGCCAAGAGTTCTGACCAGAATCTCTGTCCACGGCCACCACCTTGGTGACCAGGTAGCCAGCCTCGGCCCCCCTTGGAACCAGGTCATTGGATGGGGAGGTGCCATTCTGAAGAGGGTAGAGGATGAACGGGGCATTGTCATTTTCATCCATGACAAAAACTCGGACCATAACTTCAGAGCTCAGGGGAGGAGAACCGCTGTCCACAGCCCTCAGTGTCACCTGGAAATCTTTCACCTGCTCATAGTCCACTGATCGGATGGCATACAGATTCCCAGTTTCAGAGTTGATGGAGACGTAAGAGGACACAGGTTGATCAATGACCTTCCCAGGCAAAAGAGAATAGGTCACTTTAGCATTCTGCTCTGTGTCCAGATCGTTGACTTGGACCAGACCTATGAGGAGACCTGGAATATTATTTTCATGTAACTGCATATCATACAATGACTTTTCAAATACTGGAGCATTGTCATTGACATCTGAGATTTGGACATTAATTATTCTTGTTGAAGTAAGCCTGGGTGAGCCCCAGTCAGTGGCTGTGATGGTGATGTTGTACTCTGAGACTCTTTCTCGGTCCAGGGGCTGCTGGGTAACCAGCTGGTAATAGTTATTCTCAGAAGCTTTGAGCATGAAAGGCAGGTTTGCCTCAGTGGTGCAGGCAGTTCTGCCATTGTCTCCAGAGTCCATATCTGTGACACGGAAGAGGGCCACCAGTGTATCAGGAGGAGAATCTTCTGGTAAGGGGCTGATGAGGGATGTGATTGTCACCTCTGGGGCATTGTCATTTCTGTCCTCAATCTCCACTATGACTTTGCAATAAGCAGAGAGCCCCCCTCCATCCATGGCTTTGATGTTTACTGCATAATTTTGATTCATTTCATAATCGATGTTCTCTGCTACAGTAAGTTCCCCAGTATGTTTGTTTAAGTTGAATACTCTTTGTACATCATCTGGCACCTGGCTGAAAGAGTAATTGATCTCTGCATTGGAACCAAAATCTCGGTCAGTTGCTTCCACTTTTGTTACAAAGGAGCCTAGTCGGCTGTTTTCCATTAATTTAGTTTTGTAAATGTTTTTATCGAAAACAGGAACATTATCATTTGAATCCAGAACTTCAATGATAATTTTTGCTGTGCCTGTTCTCTTTGGGATCCCTCCATCAACAGCTGACAGAATCAGAAAAAGATGTGTTTCCTCTTCCCGGTCTAGTTGTTTCTCCAACACTAATTCTGCAAATTTAGTTCCTTCATTGTGACTTTGCACATCCAGCCGAAAATGGTCATTTGGACTAAGCGTGTAATTCTGAGCAATATTTTCTCCTCGGTCTGCATCTTTAGCACTCTCCACAGGAAATCGGGTATTTGTTGGCATGTGCTCAGGTATTTCAAAGATAAATTCCTTTTTAGAGAAGTGGGGAGAATTGTCATTCACATCCTCTATTTCAACCTCGATTCTGTGCACTTGCAGTGGGTTTTCCAGCACAATCTCTGAGTGTAAGATGCAAGGGTCTTTCTGACCACACAGAGCTTCTCTGTCTATTCTGTCCTGTAATATCAAATTCCCATTGTGAGGATCCAGCTGGAAATATTGCTTGGTGCCTTCAGAAACCAGCCGGGCCCTGCGAGCAGAGAGCTCCTTCACATCCATTTTCAAATCCTTTAGCACATTTGCCACCAGAGACCCACTTTTCTTTTCCTCGGGCACTGAATAATGGAAGGACTCACATATTGCCCCACACATGCAGAGACAGAAGAAAAAGGACCAACCTTGCCTGTTGTTGGGATGCATCTCCATCGTCTCAGCCTCCTTCCAGGCACATCCAATGCACAGGATATTTCTTTGTAAAGCAGCTGCTGGAAGTGATTGTCGTGTGGTTCCTGAGGCAATGTTTTCCTTTTTCTGTCCTTGCTTTCGGTTAGAGAGTAGTGGCTGTTTTCTCCTGAAATTTCAGACTCTTTGCCTGCAATGAAGGCTGTTTTCTCTTTGAGATCCCTTCTACGTGAAGGCAGTTTTGTGAGAGAGCCGATATTCCCCGAAAATGCGCTTTGTGTGGTGCAATTGCACCACCTTGTGTTTGAACAATAATATGACTCCTCTAAATTGCCTCTTATGACTGAACATGAACTATCTTGGGTAAGGAGAGCTTGCATTGAACTTACACTTCAGTAACGTGGCTCTTATAGGTCCTTGGAGCTCCCTTAGTCATGTCCCCCACCCACCCCAAGTTTTTGGTTTACTTTCCCTGGGAATGGACAACTGATTCAAGACACTTGAACCTTAAAATGGGACATCTCTGTTCAACTGCAGATTCATCGAACCATAGAATCATAGAGTTGGAAGGGGCCATACAGGCCATCTAGTCCAGCCTGCTGCTCAATGCAGGATCAACCTAGAGCATCCCCAAAGCGTGTTTGGTGTAGTCGTTAAGTGTGCAGACTCTAATCTGGGAGAACCGGGTTTGATTCCTCACTCCTCCACTTGCACCTGCTGATGTGACCTTGGGTCAGTCACAAGCTCTGGCACAGCTGTCCTTGAAAAAGAGCCGTTTGTGTCAGAGTTCTCTCAGCCCCACCCATCTCACAGGGTGTCTGTTGTGGGGAGGGGAAGGGAAAGGAGTTTGTAAGCCACTCTGAGACTCCAAGTGAAGGGCGGGGTATAAATCCAATCTCTTCTTCTTCTTCTTCTTTGACCAGCTGCTGCTTAAAGACTACCAGTGAGGGGGAGCTCACCACCTCCCTAGGCAGCTGATTCCACTGTTACACAACTCTTACTGCGAAAAAGTTTTTTCCCAATATCCTAATAGCCCTTATTTTAAACCCATTATCATGAGTCCTATCCTCTGCTGCCAAAAGCTCCCTGCCCTTCTTTAAGTGACAGCCCTTCAAATAGAGAATCATGTCCCCCCCAACCTCCTCTTCTCCAGACTAAACCGTTCCAAATCCCTCAGCCTTTCCTCATAGGGCTTGGCCTCCAGACCCCCAATCATTCTCATCGCTTTCCTCTGCACCCGCTCCATTCTGTCTACATCCTTTTTGAAGTGAGGCCTCCAGAACTGCACACAGTACCAATGCAGTATACAGCGGGACTATCACATCTTGCGATTTGGATGTTACGCCTCTCTTGATACACCCCAAGATTGCGTTAGCCTGTTTTGTTACTGCATCACACTGGCTGCTCATATTTAACTTACAGTCCACCCATACCCCAAGATCTAGTTCACACACACTGCTACTCAGAAGTGTATCCCCCATCCAGTATGTGTATTCCTCATTTTTGTTAGAACTTGACACTTATCCTTGTTAACCTTTATCAAAATAAACGTTTATTTCCTAGTGCAATAAATACATACCCCAGAATTTGTGATATGATAAAGTTCAGTTTCTAAAAAGTATACTTGAGATACTACCTTAGAATTTAAGACCTTACTAGCACCTGGTATGTAATTGCCACCTTGGGTGAAGAAGAAGAATTGCATTACTAGTGAATCTAGCTTTTCTAGATTCTAGTGAATCAGCGCTAGTCAGATGGGCTGAAAGATGACCCCCAGATACCTAAATTGCTTTACCTGAGCAATTGGTTGTCCATTTATGAACCTCTTATGTTTTGTCTAGCATAAAGGAAGTTTTGCAAAAAAGTAAAATAAAACTTTTATTAGATGATGCTAGAACTACTCTAAATCACACCTTCACAATCAAAGAAGTAAATAGAGCTACCTAAAATCTGAAAAATACAAATTCCCTGAACTTGATGGGCTAACGACTAAGTGTTTTCAGAAATGTCATGAGGTAACATCCCTTCATGAGGACTTTCACTGTGTGTGATGATTTTCTTGGGTTTTTTTAAAGTATTAGTGTTTTATGTTTGTTTAAGTCTATGTTAGCATTATCTCATCCATGCATTTTTTGCACTGACTTTTGGGAGTCATAGTCCCTGCTACCTCACTAGGGAATTATCTGTCCCAATCATCATAAGAACATAGGAGAAGCCATGTTGGATCAGGCCAGTGGCCCATCCAATCCAACAGTGGCCAAACAGTGGCCAAAACCCAGGTGCCATCAGGAGGTCCACCAGTGGGTCCAGACCTCCAGAAACCCTCCCACTGCTGCCCCTCGAGCACCAAGAATACACAGCTTCACTGCCCCAGACAGAGTGTTCCATCTATACCTTGTGGCTAATAGCCACAGATGCACCTCTGCTCCGTATGCTTATCCAATTCCCTCTTGAAGCCATCCATGCTTGTAGCCACTGCCACTTCCCGTGGGACTGAATCCCATGTGTTAATTACTCTTTGGGTGAAGACACACTTCCATGATCTTTGGGGGAAGGATCTATTTCACCTACCGTGTAGATGCACAAGTGGCTGCAAGGGATAAGGAAACACCGACGCCATGGCTACTGCATTCATGGCCATCATCAACCCCGCTCCCCACCTCTAATTTTTCTACCATCTACAGAAGGGTCAGGAAACCGGTGGAGTTATTTTCCTTTTGCATAGGCTTTGGAGAATGTAGGAGTCTCTGGGAAACATTCCAAGGTACTTCTGTTGTGTCTTCTCCTCAAATTGCTGAGAATTCCATGGATGGGGCCCGGTTGTGGCTGGAGGCCTCCCTGCCTGCAGCTGTCATTGCCTGAAACCACTATAAAGCACTGGCAGGAGGGGGGGAAAAGGTTTAAGTCAGTGTACCGCTATGTCGAGGAGCTGCGGTGGCTCAAGAGGTTAAGACGCTGAACTGCAGGCTGTGGAAGGTCGGTAGTTCAGCGGTTCGAGACCCGGGTGCCGCATGACGGAGCGAGCTCCCGTCTCTAGTTCCAGCTCCTGCCAATCTAGCAGTTTGAAAGCAAGAAATTGCAAGTAGATAAATAGGTACCCCTTCGGTGGGAAGGTCACAGCGTTCCATGCGCCTTGGTGTTTAGTCATGCCGGCCACATGACCACGGAAACGTCTTCGGACAGCGCTGGCTCTTCGGCTTTGAGACGGAGATGAGCACCGCAACCCTAGAGTCGGACTCGACTGGCTTTCGAGCAAGGGAACCTTTACCTTTACCTTTTACCACTATGTCACTTCTGGTGAAAACCCAGAAGTGGCATTTAGTACCTTTAGGGATCACCAGAAACTCTATGGTTTTCCACCAAAGTGACACAGTGAGCACAGGATCTCATGCTTCCCCCATGCCCCCCCTCCTGAACCAGAAGTGTCAAACCCATTTGTCACAAGGGCCAGATCTGACATCTCCCTAATGCCCACCCTCCCACTTCCACCACCCATTTCTCATTAGCAGTGGGACAGTATACAGGAACATAATGCACAGTCTCTGTCATCTGGCAATAAAGGTAATGACCAGTTGCTCATGGGCCGGATAAGAGCCCTGGACAGGCTGGTTCTGGCCCATGGCCGTAGGTTTGACACCCCTGTCCTAAGCTCTCACTGGTTGTCAGGCATTGCCTGGCACCCCTAGAACTGTGTGCTGCTGGACACCATGCTAAAGAGAAGTACTTGGCACTGGAAGGCTGGTGAGTGAATCCCATCTAGGTCTTCAAGCCAACAGGCTATTCGACCAGAAAAAGCAAGCAGTATAACAAAAAGTTATTGCTGTTCATTATTAATTAAAAGCAAACAACATTTAATTGCAGCAACTATATATTTACACACATCTAATGTTATATCGGGGCTGCAGTGCCTCAAGTGGTTGAGACACTGAACTGCAGGCTGGAAGGTCGGTAGTTCAGCAGCGAGACCCGAGTGCCGCAAGATGGAGTGAGCTCCCGTCTCTGGTCCCCGCTCCCGCCAACCTAGCAGTTTGAAAGCAAGAAATTGCAAGTAGATAAATCAGTACCACTTCGGTGGGAAGGTGACAGCATTCCATGCGCCTTGGCGTCTAGTCATGCCGGCCACATGACCACGGAAACGTCTTTGGGCAGCGCTGGCTCTTCGGCTTGGAAACAGAGATGAGAACCACATCCCTAGAGTCGGATTCGACTGGCTTTCAAGCAAGGGAAACCTTTACCTAATGTTATATCAAAATCCAGGTCGGCTAACAGAGCCATTAAATAATAGTTAGAACTGGCTTCTTATTCAGATGAGGATCCAGATTTTTTTTTCTCAGTTCCAAATAGATTACACGGAAAAAGAAGAAATGCTCAATAGTTTCTACCAAAGACCTATCAAAGATACAGACTCTAGGTGAATGATATTGTAAGGTCCTGGATACGCATCCCTTGGTAACTTCAAGACCAGATTTCGGCAATGTGTTCCACATCAGGGGTCAGTAGAGGGTCACTCATTCTCCAAACCATTCAAAGTAGCTCTCAGTCCCTCCTCCAGTTCTGTTGTAATCACTTCCTTATCCTTATATTTAATGCTACCAGAGCAACTTCACTCCTTTTTGTTCATGGGAAAGAAAACAGTGGACAGAGAGACTGGAGAAGGATAAGCCACATAAAGAGTGATGGTGATCTCAGAGAAAAACCTTACATGAGTATCAGGTGCAGCAAGTGAAAGCCTTACAGGGAAAGGAGCTAGGGAAAAAAGCGAAAAGGTAAATGGAGGAGTGGGTAGAATTTCACACATTGATTTCAATAACTGCAGCTATTTAGCAACAATTCAAGGAGCAACATACAGGGGGGAAAGGGTGGGAAATAATTCAACAACAATAGCAAAAAGCATTATATTACATCACTGATGAGATTTCAATAGGATACAGAGTAATTAAGAAGGGCTAACTTACCTGTTCACTTGGTTTTCCTCTCTCCACCTGCTCAGGAGTCTCTTGAGAGAACGAAGAAAATCTGTGATTCTCAAAGGCACTTGGGTCCCCCATAGAAAAAACAGGAATGAGAGGCCTAAGGTATCTGAAATCGCTGCTTAAGGATCCACCAGTTAGGCAAACATCGTATTGGTAGGTCCGGGAAAGTGATCCACTCTGAGAATTGACACCAGTTTCTGGGATCTCAGGTAAGGCAGGTGGGAACTGAGGAAGGGCGGTGATAAAACTGGAGTCTTTCTTGTACATTTTGATGACAACAAACACAATGATGCAAATCAGGAACACAAAGGACACCGCAGCCAAGCAGATCACCAGGTACATGGTCAAGGAGCCATCTTCTTCACCGGCTTCGTGACTGACGCTTGCAATATTCAGATAAGGATCTGAAAAGCCATCCATGAGAAGAATATTTAATGTTGCAGTGCTGGTCTGGGGAGGGTGGCCGTTGTCTCTCACCAGGATAATCAGTCTCTGCTTGTTTGTATCTCGCTCCGTCAGTGGTCTCCTGGTTTTGACTTCTCCGTTCTGGGCTCCTATGCTGAAAAGGCCGGGGTCCGTGGCCTTCAGCAGTTCATAGGAAAGCCAAGAGTTCTGGCCCGAATCCCCATCCACAGCCACCACCTTGGCGACGAGGTAACCGGCCTCCACTGACTTGGGAACCAGCTCGTTGCAGGGGGATGTGCTGTTCTGAAGAGGGTGGAGGAAGAAGGGGGCATTATCGTTTTCATCCAGGATCACAACTCGAACAACAGCTTCCGAGCTCAGTGGAGGAGACCCCCCATCTGAAGCCCTCACTCTCACTTGGAATTCCTTGATCTGCTCATAATCCAGAGATCGCAGGACATACAGATTCCCCGTCTCAGAGTTGATGGAAACATAAGAGGCCGCAGGAGCACCAGTAGCATTTCCAGGCACAAGGGAATAGGTCACCTTGGCATTCTGCTCCACGTCCAGATCGACAGCACGGACCAAACCCATCAGAAGGCCTGGAATGTTGTTTTCCCACACTTGCATTTCATACTTGGACTTCTCAAACACTGGAGAGTTGTCATTGATGTCTGAGATCAAAACCGTAATTGTTCTTCTTGAAGCGCGCCTGGGAGAGCCCCGATCAGTAGCTGTGATGGTGACGTTATACTCAGGGACTTTCTCTCTGTCCAAGGGACTTTGGATCACAAGCTGGTAGTTGTTACTCCCAGTGGCTTTTAACATGAAGGGAAGGTTTGTGTCTATGGAACATGAAGTTCTGCTGTTCTCCCCAGAGTCTTGATCTGTGACACTGAAAAGCGCCACCACTGTGTCCAGGGGAGAATCCTCTTGCACAGTGCTGGAGATAGATATGAGAGAGACTTCTGGGGCATTGTCATTCTCATCCTCGATTTCCACCAGGACCTTACAGTGGCCTGAAAGACCCCCTCCATCTGTTGCTTTGACATTCATATAATAGCTGGTTTCTTCTTCATAGTCAATTGGACCCAAAACTGTGATTTCCCCAGTAGTTTGATGCAAGTAGAACAACTGGCTTATTTCCTCAGGCACCTGATGGAAGGAGAAGGTGATCTGTGCATTTGAACCAAAATCCAAATCTCTGGCTTCCACTTTCAGTACCAGAGTATCTCGAGGGCTATTTTCCTTTAAACCGACTATATATTCAAATTGTGTAAACTCAGGGAAGTTGTCATTACTGTCCAGAACATTAATATTTATTTGAACTGTGCCTGTTCTCTGGGGCAACCCTCCATCAACTGCTGTGAGGGTCAGCCCGACATGAGCCTCCTTCTCTCTGTCTAGTGGTTTCTCTAGAACAAGGTCCAAATGCTTCTTTCCACCCCTGCCACTTTGTATTTCCAAGTGAAAATTTTCATTGGGACTGAGTGTATAGTTCTGGATGCTGTTTTCACCCAAGTCTGCATCTTGGGCAGATTCCAGGGGGAATCGAGTATTTGTGGGAACATTCTCAGGGATTTCTAGGTTAAATTCATTTTTAGAAAACTTAGGAGAGTTATCGTTCACATCTTCTATGTTCATTTCTATACTGATGACCTCTAAAGGTTTTTCCAGTGCAATTTTAGAAAGAAGCAAGCAGGGGTCGGTCTGGCCACACAAAGCTTCTCTGTCTATTTTGTCATTTATAAAAAGATTCCCAGAATGATTATCCAGCTGGAAATATTGCTTATGGCTTTTGGAAACCAGTTGGGCTCTGCGAGCAGAGAGCTCCCCTGGTCCCAGTTTCAAGTCCTTCAGCACATTAGCCACCAGAGACCCACTTTTCTTCTCTTCAGGCAAAGAATAGCGAATTGAGACACACACCACTCCAGACAGAGAGAGTAAGAACAAAAGGTACAGACCTTTTCTCATCCTGAAGATATCACCCATGGTGCCAGCCACATCCAGGTCAGATAAATCCCTTGGTTAAAATGCAGATCTTCTGATTTTCATTCAGTGACTATCTGCACTGCTAAGGAAGTGGGTTTTGCTCTGCAGGGTTTTTTATTCCGGTGAATGTTCCTTCTCTATTGCTGATAAAATGGGCTGCCTCTGCTGTCGCTATAGCTGTCTGTCTCAGCTTCCAGTCGTGTTTTTTTGCTACAAAACTCAATTCCAACTAGTGTGTTTGCCAATGCCGCCACCATGTGGCTGAGTAAGGAAAAATAATTAACTTTCTATATATTTCATTGCATGGCAAGCCCAATGCACAATACAATTAATAGGAAAGGCCTAGATTTACCCTGTTCACCTAGTCAGGCTGCTGCATTTTACCAGTACAAAACGCCCATAAAATGGTGAGCTCATTTATGGAAATCTGGCCACAAAGATGAGCTATAGCCACGTAGGTACTTATTATTTCTCCCATCTCTGTGGCCAAAGCCATTCTTGACCTTTCGTTTCAGGATCTGTCAGGCACAGTGGTCTTTGTCATTTGGCTGCATAGCTTGCAGATGGGGTTAAGATCAGTCTGGGGATTGTTGTAGTCAGAGCTCTTTTTGTAGAAAAAGCCCAGCAGGAACTCATTAGAATAATAGGCCACACCCAACAGCACAGCTCATTAGCATATTAGGCCACACCCCATGATACCAGAAGTGTGGTCATCCAGCCACACCCACCTTTTGCTTCTTATTCTGTTTACTTTGTTGTCAAAACCCAAGGCCTTTTTTTGTAGCAGGAACTTCTTTGCATGTTAGGCCACACACCCCTAATGTAGCCAATCCCAAGGAGTTTCTGCTGTTGGGTGTGGCCTATTATGCTAATGAGTTCTTCCTGGGTGTGGCCAACTCGGGAGCCAGCCAGAACTCCATTCCTGTGCGTTCCTGCCCAAAAATAGCCCTGGTTGTAGTGACTACTTATATGTCCCGGGGGGGTATATGTCCCGGGGGGGGGGGGACATTTCCTATACACTAATTTACTTTCTTCTACCTCTCAGCTCTTGTACTGTTCCTCTCTCATGCATGCTAGCAAATGATAAAAAAAGTATTGTGGTGGGATCAGCATGCAAGTCCTTAAAACACAACAAACTGTACTGCAGCATCACAATAAGAAAATTAACTCCACCCAGTAACTAAGAGTTGGGAGCACAAACTGCAGGAATCCAATAAGCTCAAAAACAGTGGCTCTGAATCACCTCTTACATGATACCAGGGCTATTTTTGGGCAGGAACGCACAGGAACGGAGTTCCGGCTGGCTCCCAAGTTGGCCATGCCCAGCAGGAACTCATTAGCATAATAGGCCACACCCAACAGCAGAAACTCATTAGAATTGGCTACATTAGGGGTGTGTGGCCTAACATGCAAAGGAGTTCCTGCTACAAAAAAGGCCCTCGGTTTTGACAACAAACAAGGTCAACAGAATAAGAAGCAAAAGGTGGGTGTGGCTGGATAACCACACTTCTGGTAAAATGGGGGTGCGGCCTAATGTGCTAATGAGCTGTGCTGGCAGGGGTGCTAATGAGTTTCTGGTGTTGGGTGTGGCCTATTATGCTAATGAGTTCCTGCTGGGTTTTTTCTACAAAAAGAGCCCTGCGATACCCCTCTCCCACCCCACAGACAACACAGAACACAATCCTTCACCCAACAAGGGGATACCCACTCACTGTGTTGTCTTTTCACTTCCTTGGCAACAGTAGACATTCCCATTGGCTGTACTTCAGCAGTTGTTATGGGCAAGGAAGAATTACAACTCTGTTCACTGGGTTTTTCTGTCAAGTCCTCGTGTGATGTACCTGTTGCTCTAAACTGAAGTGAGATGAACCTGCTGCTGTCACATCATTCTGAGACAAATGCTTTTCTCGGCTGATCAATATGGTGTTGCCACATGTGGCCATCAGCACTCAGGATCTTGTATTTGACCTCAACAATAGTGGAAAGAACCCTCATTGATCCAGGTCCATCATTCCTGGCAAAACTCTGGTTATGTAGTTAAATACACAAAAAGCAAGTAAAGACAGAGCAGCACTAAATGTATATTCCTGTTTATCTAGCAAGCTCTCCGTTTAGTCAGGGCTGATATCACTGAGGTTAGTTTTTAAATGGCATCCCTTCAGCAGCTCAGCAGGGCTTCTCAAGCAAGGACTGATATGTTGGGCACTAAGAAACCCAGCAAGTCTTTTTGTTCAGTCCTCGAATAATTCATTTTATGGCTTCCTTGATTGTCTGCTCCATGTGTTAAGCCTGGCAACTGGCATGGGGATAGCCTGATGCAATTGTGACAACCTGGATGAGGTTCCTGCCTGCCGATTCCTTGTGCTCAGGTGAAATAAATGCAGTCCCGGCCAGAAACAAGAGTGTCTATATCACAAATAATAATCAGAATAATTCATGCTGGTGACTCCAACTCTAGGAAGTTCCTTTTCCAGTAGTTAGTGGAGCAGCTCCCCAAAGGTTGGGGAGGACAGAAAGGTAGGAGTTGCCCAAGGAAAAGTCTTGCAGCACCTGCTTTGATCTAGCTGTAAGCACGTTATGGATTGCTGGCATCTTGCCCTGGGTGCGGTAGATACAAGAAGCATCAATGCAATAACCTTAAAAAGTAACACCAGCAGTTCAAGTTTCACATTTCTTTTTTTAGCTCAAATGTCCAATTTATTGAACGAGTGCAAGAGTTGCTGGAGTTTTTTCAGTAAGTCCATCTTCTGTTGTTAGGATAAGATATTGTTGCAACATGGTACAACACCCAGAATTCTGGAAAACTGGGTGTCCATTAAGAATTGGTAGATTCCTGGAGGAACAGAAATACCAAATGGGTGGTGCTTGTCCCCAAAAGCTCCTTCATAAGTTAAGTGACTGGCAAGGTTCACAGGATGTCAATCCCCACTGCAGTTCCTTGGCTATATAATAGTGGAATTTGAATGACAAACAGCCTCCATGTGACCTTTCTTTCTACAAACTATGCATCCCACATCCTTGAATCTGTAGACAGTGCATCAGAGTGACCACCCACAGCCTGAACAGGAGTCAGAATGGTTTATCTGCATATGCTGAAGAGGATGCATTCCTTATTTTCTGCTGATCCAGATGCCGAGAGCTCTCTTCCTGCTTGCTGTGGATGGTACTGGCGTAAGCAGTTGCCCTCTCGATTTCTGCTGCATGTATTGAGGTAGCTTCACTGGCTAATGAGGCTAATAAGGCTTTTTCCTGGGCCTGTGCAAATGCCAAATTTGACTGAGACAGGAGATGCCTTTCAGGTCATTCTGAAGTCTACATACACTCTACATACAAGACTATTGTGAGACATGTCAGCTAGGAGATTTC